GTCTCTCCTCATTTCTTTGAATTCTTGTTTCTTCATTCTATTCTGGTTGAACATTTATTTATTCCTTGTGCTCCAAATCATTGATTTGAATCCTGGTTTCCTTCCCTTCACTGTTGGTTCCCTGCACATTTTTCTTTATTTCACTTAGCATAGCCTTTACTTTTTCCTCTATTTTGTGACCATACTCTACCAATTCTGTGACCATCCTGATTACCAGTGTTTTGAACTCTGCATCTGATATGTTGGCTATCTCTTCATTGCTTAGTTCTATTTTTGGAGCTTTGATCTGTTCTTTCATTTGGGCCATGTTTTTGTCTTGGTGTACCTATTATGTTGTAAGGGTTGGGGCCTTAGGTGCTCACCAGAGCAAGGCAAACCATGTGGCTGCATTGTTGTGCTGTATGTGGGGCAGGGGTCCAAGAGGGAACAATGCCCCTTGCTCAGCTCTCAGCCAGCTTTCTCAGTCACTTCCCCAGCTACCCATAAGCAAATTGGGCCTTTCTGGTGCTGATTCCTGGGTGGGTGGGTTTGTGTACATTCTAAGACTCTGTGGGTCTCTCCAATGAACTCTCCTGTGAGGCTGGGAGTTTCTCCTGCTGCCTCAACCCCCACAGGTTTTTTCAGTCAGAGGTTTGAGGCTTTATTTCCCTGCACTGGAACCCTGTGTTTTGTGGTCTGTATCACTCCCCAGTTGTTCCTCCTGGTTTATCTACATGCAAATGTGGGACCCCAAGCTCCAGCCACCACCTTGCCCACCCCAGTCCTCCAGCCACCGCCTTACTGCAAGTCCTCTCTGCCCATCTGCCTCTCTCCACCCCTCCTACCAGTCTGGATGAATATTTCTTCTTTTTTTTTTTAAAGAGTTTATTTATTTATTTTTAGAGAGAGAAGGGAGGGAGATAGATATATAGAGAGAAACATCAATGTGCGGTTGCTGGGGGTCATGGCCTGCAACCCAGGCATGTACCCTGACCAGGAATCGAACCTGTGACACTTTGGTTCGCAGCCCACGCTCAATCCACTGAGCTACGTCAGCCAGGGCAATATTTCTTCTTTAACTCCTTGGTTGTCAGACTTCCATGTAGTTCAATTTTCTGGCAGTTCTGGTTGTTTTTTGTTTTTAAACTTGTCATTGTCCTTCTTTTGGTTGTGTGAGGAGGCACAGTGTGTCTACCTATGCATCCTTCTTGGCCAGAAGTCCTTATCCTTCATTTTGTTTATATGGTGTTCATGTTAATAGAGTTGCAGATACTGAACCAATCTTACCACCCAGGAATAAATCCTGCTTGATCTTTTTATTGTATTGCTAATATTTTGTTGAGGATTTTTGCATCTATGTTTATCAGCAATCTTGGCATATACCTTTTTTGTCATGTCTTTGTCTGGTTTTGGAATAAGGTAATATAGGCCTCATAAAATGAGCTTAAGATCCTTCCATCCTCTTTACTTTTGGGGGAATAGTTTGAAAAGGATAGGTGTTAATATTTGAATGTTTGGCAAAATTCATCTGTGAAGCCATCTGGTCCAGGACTTTTTTGTTTGTTAAGAGTTTTTTGATCACTGATTTGATTTTGTTAGTAGTTATCAGTATGTTCAGATTTTTTGTTTCAGTTCGTTCAGACTTGGAAGATTGTATAGAACTTATTTGTTTCTTCCAGTTTCTCCAATATGTTGGTATTTAATTGTTCATAGTATTTTGTTATAATCCTTTGTGTTTCTGTGGTGGCAGTTTATCACTTTTGTCACTTTCATTTCTGATTTTATTTATTTGGGTTCTCTTTTTCTTGATAAATCTGGTCAAAGTTTTATCAATTTTATTTGTTCAAGGAACCAGCTCTTGGTTTTGTTAATCTTTTGTATTTGTTAAGACTACTTTTTGAAATTTCCACTCTGATCTTTGTTATTTCCTTCCTTTTACTCTTTGGACATTTCACATAAATAGAATGGGCTTTGTTCTTTTTTTAGTTCCTTTAGGTACAAGGTTAGATTGTTTGAGATTTTTTTTTTGTTTCTTGAGGTAGGCCTGTATTGTCATAAATTTCCCTTTTTGAGCTGCTTTGGCTGTCTCATAGATTTAGGGTCCTTGTGTTTTTAAAAATATATATTTGATTTATTTATTTTTAGAAAGGGAGAGGGAGAGAGGGAGAAACATGGATCATTTGCCTCTTGCACACCCTCAGCTGGGGACCTGACCCACAACCCAGGCATGTGCTCTGACTGGGAATTGAACTGGCAACCCTTCAGTCTGCAGGACAGTGCTCAGTCCCTGAGCCGCACCAGTCAGGACAGGATCCTTCTGTTTTCATTATCATTGTCGCAAGGTATCTTTTGATTTCTTCCCTGATCTTGTTGTTTACCCATTCATTGTTCAGTAGCATGTTATTTAGCCTCCAGGTTTTGTGTAACTTACAGTTTCTTTCTTGTAATTGATTTCTAGTTTTATACCAGCATGATCAGAAAAGATGCTTAGTATGATTTCAATCTTTTAAAACTTGAGACTTGTTTTGTGGACTAACATGTGGTCTATCCTGGAAAATGTTTTATGCACATTTGAAAAGAATGTATATTCTGCTGTTTTGGGGTTAAATATTCTAAAAATATCAGTTATACTCATGTTGTCTGTGTCATTTAAGGCTGCTGGTTCCTTGTTAATTTTCTGCCTGGATGACAGTACCTTTCGATGGCTGAATAATATTCCATTGTATGGATATACCACTTCACGTTTACTCCTTCAGTTGATGGACATTTGGATTATTTTCCCATTTAGCTATTATGAATAATGATACTATGAATATTTATGTACAGTTTGTATGGACATATACTTTCAATTTTCTTGGGTTTATTGAAAATAGAGGTGGAATTACTAGATCATATGCTGTTTAAAATTTTGAGGAATTTCCAAATTGTTTTCCAAACTGGCTCCACAATTTTATAACCTCCTTGTGACAAATAAGGTGTGAGCTCTGTGTCCTCACTAACACTTGTTACTGCCTGTTTTACTTTAGCCATCCTCATGGGGATGAAATAGTATCTCATGATTTAATTTGCATTTATTAATGACTAAAGATGAGCATTTGTTTCATGTGCTTATTAGCCATTTATATATTTTCTTTGGAGAAATAGCTATCTAAATTCTTTGTCCATTTAATTGGATCATCTTTTTATTTTTGAATTGTAAGAGTTCTCATACATTTGGGATATAAGTGTCTAATCCAATATATGACCTGTAAATGTTTTCTCCCATTCTGTGTTGTATTTTCATTATCTTGAAGGTGGCCTTTGAAGCACAAGTTCTTCACTTTGACAAAGTCCAATTTACCTAATTTTTCTTGTCATTTGTGCTTTTTGGTGTCCTAGGGAACCAGTGCCTAATCCAGTCTTGAAAACTTTTCTTTTAAAAATTGTTATTGACCCAAGAAACATTGATTAGTTGTGCCACGCATCTATGCACTCATTGGTTGATTCCTATATGTGCCCTGACCAGGGAGGTATTGAACCCGCAACCTTGGCGTTATCAGGACAATGCTCTAACCAATTGAGCTACCCAGCCAGGGCTCTATCTGTTTTCTTTTAAGAGTTTTATAGTTTTAGCTCTTACATTTAGGTCTATAATCCATTTTAATTAATTTAATCTGATCTGTGATCTACGTTTATATATGGTATGAGGTAGGGGTCCAACTTCATTCTTTCATATGTGGATATCCAGCTGTCACAGCACCATCTGGCAGAAGGACTAGTCTTTCCCCCTTGAATAGTCCTGGTACCCTGCACTTGCATTTTTCATCTCACCAATGGTCCCCCAGAGATGTTGCACTAGTGTATACTCCCAACCACAGGAGCCACGTGCCTGTATCTCAGATGGAGCACTGACGGTTAGAAAAGGACACTGATAGACTGAAGCTCATCAGGGACCATCACTTATGGTGGAGGAGTGGGGGTAGGCTTGAAAGAGTGGTTTGAAGGAAGAAATGTTTATTTCAACAGAAAATGCTGGGGAATATAAATTCTGAATGGGTGGGCCTGAATTTAAAACCCTGTTCTGCCCCTTACCAGCTGTGTAAGGTGTCCCTTACTAGTATTATCCAACCCTGCTTACTTTAGTTGCATTAAACTGTGATTACAGACCTTTGCAGAGTTGTTGTGAAGAGTGAATATATGTAAATATCCCACCCCATGACAGGCCCTCAATAATGTAGCTATTGTGATATTTCTGTATGTGCTGTTTGGGGCCAAGCCCATGTGGCTGTAGGGGGGCATCACAGTGGGACAGTGTTGGAGTCACTTGCTGTGAGATTTTTAATGACTGATCATGTATAGAAACTTGAATCTACTGCTGTGTGTCACTGTCACCCAGAGCAATGCAATACTGAAGTCTTTGCTGTGACATGTTAAGAGGGGGGAAAGGATGTGACTGAGACTAAATGTGACAGCAAGGCAAACCCGAGTGACATAACAGACTGGAGTGTAGGGAGGCAGGCTGCAGCAGGCAGACTCGTGGGGGCCCAGCACTGGCTGCTTGGGAGTTCGGATACCAGGGCAGTCATCTGTCCTGTCCCCTCCTCCACCAACTTCCCTCCCTGCTTTCCTCATGGAAGGGGGATTTAATGCAATATCTAAGGAGCTGCTGTTCAAGCACCTTTGGTGTCATCACCCAAGGCTAAGGAAAAGAACCTGCTGGAAATGTGTGCAAAATGGGTAGGGTAGAACCCGGACTGGTTTCTCCTCTTTTTAGCTTTAGTCTTCCGAGTGGCTGATGAAAACAGAATTGAAACCTAAGAATTCCTTCCTACTCCTGTCTGTTCCCTGGGGAGGGAAGAGAGGCATAAATGCCACATCTCATTAAGCTTTTACAAGCTCAGACAGGCAGAGTGGCCCTACATGGGAGGCAGGCAGGGGGCTTAGGAGGCTGTAGGAAGGACTCCTCAGTTCTCTCAGGAAATATCTGTCCAAGACCATGGAAGCCTGCTCTACACAAATGAAATAAGGGTCAACAATAGATGTGGAGTAATAATGGCTTTAATTGAAAAGCGATCAGAAGGGCAACGGGGACAGGAAGTTGGTAGATGTGGGGACAAGAGACAGTGGCAGAGACAAGGCTGCAGATTATCAAAACTGCCTGGAAGAGTCAGCTCTAAGGTACAGAGTCCTGAGGGTCAAAGAGAAAAGGGAAAGGCCGCTTTCTGTACCACACAAAGCTGAAATAATGAGTGGGACTATTGCCCTTGGCCTAAGGTAACTGCATTTCATCTTTTCAGGTTTTCACCCTGAGTCTTTTTATTAAAACTCAATTTATTGGGGTGACCTAAGGTGACTTTAAATACAAGGTATAAAAGATTGGCATAAATATCAGTTTGAACAAGGGAAATGAGAACTCTTTTTCTGAACTCAAAAAGATGAAAGAATTAAAACCATAATCCAATGTGTAAGGCTGGGAGAGAATAAATAGTCTAGTGATCCACATATAAAACAGACCGTAAACAAAGGAGTGGAAGTTGAGGTTAATAGAGGGTCAGCTTGCCTTGCCACCATGGAGGGTAACAGTGCCACAACGCCACATGGGCACTGCCTCGCACTGTCTGCCCCCTCCTGGGTGTGAGGGTGAGGGGCTGGAGGGTGCAAGGGGTCAGAGCAGCAGGGTGGCCTGGGCTGCAGCAGGGCAGGAACACCCACTGTTGATATAGTGGGATTGGGATAGGGAGCCTGGCTCTGGCCTTGGGGTCTGCAGAGAAGTTAGAGGAAATAAGGCTGCAGGTGCAGTGCAGTAATATCGGGGTAATCACGGGAGGGCAGCTGTAGACACAAGTGCAATTGCCTTCCCAGGCCAAAGGGCAGGTTCTATCCCACCTAGGTTCATGCCCTGCCATCTAGCTGGAAAACTATGAGGTTCTGGGACTTAAAAGTCACACAGCCAGACTCTGGGGCAAGGCTGACTTTAGCCAATTAAAGACTCTCCCTGTGGCCAGGTAGACAAACTCTTCCCAGCTAGGGAGCTCTGGGTGTCTGCAGGGAAGCAGAATAGTGTATTAGGGTTAAAAAAAAAAAAAGCATCCTGCGAGTTAAGGGCTAGGGTAGCACCACTCTCATTGCCTCTGTCGCTTCTGCAAGAATTTCTTGTTGAGGAGGAAAATGAGAAGGTTCACATTGACCTTGGCCTTGTTGAAGAGTTTCATGACAGCCACACCCTCGTACTGAAGCTGCAGGAGGTCCTGGGAGAAGGGGAAGGGAAAGAGGGGAGTTTAAGGCTTCTTCACCATGGCCCAGCCAGTCTATAAAACATTTTGGAGACTCACATAGTCACCCAGTGGCACAGACCACTGCAATGGGGCACTGAAACCCCACTTCACAGATGAGGAAACCAAGGAACACGAGAGGTATAGTGACTTGGCCAAATGCCAATTCAAGCACAGCCATGCCTGAAACAAGTTTTCTCATTTAAAAGACAAAACAGCGGAGCAAAAAGACTTGGATTTAAAATGATTGCTTTCCTGAACAGCCTCTGACTTAGGCTGGCTTTTGAACCTTCTAGCTTCAGAGCCTGTACACAGGCACGATACTTCAGAGAGGTGGAGAGGGTTACAGGAGACACCGTGTGAAGTCCCTGACTTGCGATAGGGCTTCAAATGTTAATCCTACTTCTGACCCTGCCAGCCCAGGCCATTCTCCTGATGTTTGGCAGTGGGTGGAGTCTGTGTCGGAGCATGGGGACAGAGGGGCTTGGGCTGCACAGACCCTCACCCCTTTCTTCAGGACCAGAAGGTACTGATTGGGTGGGGAACACTGCTGATGTCACCTGAGGTCGACCTGTCATTAGGCTAGCACCGAAAGCCTGGCAGGTGTCTTGAGGGATCATGAGGATGTCCTCTCACCTGATAATGAAGCTGAAACCGCTCCATGTCCACGCCCAGGAACTTGGCATTTACTTCAAACTTTCCCGCCTCGTCTCCAGGAGTGATGTCAAAGATCACATTTCTGAAGCTGTCAGGAAGAGAATTCAAAATGGGGCCCCCTGCCTCTTTCCAGAGTCCTAGTCCCACTCTTCCCCGCACTGCCCCTCACCCTGGTCACTGCCACGTGTCACCCGGAGCCTGGACTTGCGCTCTGTCACTCCCAGGGCCCAGCTCTGTCTTCTCCCATTTACTTCTGCTTACTGCCCATGTCCGCCCGGCCCCAGTCAAATGTTCTCTCCTCCGGGAATCTTTCCCAGCGTCCTCTGCCTGGGGGCTTCTAGTGCCAGACTACACCTACTGTCTTCAACCTTCTGTCTGGAGACATCCTGCGTTCCCCACCATCCTAGCAGCTCAAGGCAGGGACCACGCTTCTTCTCCCCTCCTACCTGGCCCCCAGCCAAGAGCTCCACCCCCAGGTAACGGGACAGGAAGGGCTGACATTCTGCCCTCTGAAGAAACATACTGAGAGGTGGGAAGGTCTTCAATTTCCACCAAGACACCCTTGTCCAGGAGCTGGGCAGCAGTGTAATGAAGAGAGAGCTGCTTCTTCCCTTTCCCAGAACTCCTGATTGAAAAAAGGCCCCAGAGAATTCATCCAGTAAACTCTTCACCACCAAAGACAGTGTACTTTTCTGTGGCTGGCAGGAAGGAAATTAGACCCTGAGGGAGACTTCTGACCGGTGGGAGACAAAGGAGGGGCTGCACCTGAGCCCAAGACTTCACAAGGGAGATTAAAAAACCCGAGTGAGGAAAGGGCCACGCTGTGCGGGGCTTGTCTTCTGCTGGCGGAGAGCGGGACAGGGGTTGCCGTGGGCAGGGTGAGAGGTCACACAGGAAGAAGACAGCACCTACTTGCAGCCGGGGGCCAGGTGGCCCAGGCAGGCCCGGATGTACTGGCTGTAGTAGTCACCCTGCTCCTCATAGAAGGTGGTCTTCGCACTCAGGCCTCGGAGTGTGGCCTGGAGCTTCATCAGCTCTGCCTTCCGCCGCTGCCGGTGCCTGCGCTGGTTACGGATGTCCTGGGGTTGGGGAACCAAGGGAGGGGGAGTTGGCCATTCCGGCAGAACCTCAGGGCCTGACCCAGGCCCAAGAACAACTCACTGTGAGGACCTTCAGGAGAAGGAAGAGGGGGATTTCAAGGCTGTTTGTGTTAGGAGGAGCACAATCTCGGGGGCTATCCCAGCCTTCAAAGGACATCTTTAGGACCTTCCCCACTGAGGAGTAACTGTTTCAAGGCTACTTAATTTTTAGTAAAAGAAAGTTAGTTGCATAAATACGTCCTTCCCTAATTTTAAGACATCTCTTTCAAAGAAGACCATTTGGAGGTTTCTTGGCCTTCCCCTGGCTGGTGAAAACTTGGGGTGGGCGCTTTCCGGGCAGAGGCCTGCCCTTGAGGTGCTGATACTATGCACGCACGTGCACACACAAGGGCACACACGTGCGCACAAGCACACGGCCCCAGGCTCAGGTCATTACCTTGGCCAGTTTGTCCACCAGCCCCTGGTAGCCATCGCTGGCACTGACCAACCCCAGGCTCTCCAGTCGGCGCAGGTTCCGCAGGACACGCCTCTGCTTCTCTGCCAGCGGCAGGAGGGAGCCAGCCGTCAGTGAGCGGTGTCGCCGAAGCAGCTCTGAGTTCTGGGCCTCACAGGCCTGGCGTCGGCACATCAGCTGCCTGTGAGCTGCTTCCTGGGGGGCAGAGATTCCGGCTCCAGGCCCCACCATTCTGCCCCCAGCCAGGGCAGGCCCCAGGGCACCAGACGCAAAGGGAAACCTGGGCACCTCAGGGTATCGCTGGGAGACTGCCCCCAGAGCCTGGCTTCTGGGGACAAGAGACAGGGTGGCTTGTGAGGAACATCCAGATGTGACGTCACAAATTAGAAGGGCCTCATGGAGCACCAAGGGGAGCGGAGGCCCGAGGGAGGCCCAAACAGAAGTACAGCATGAAGGATTCCGGACAGACCGGCTTTGACTTCCCTTCCGTCATGCTGTGTGCCGGGACATGCCTCTATTGGCCGTCCCACCTTTTCCCCAGGAAGCCCCTGGCTTAGTCTGCACTCCCGCAGGCCCGGTTTGCCCCTTGTTCCCCATCCACTTACCACGTTCCCCTGCCTCTAGGCCTCCAAGCACCCACCCTCTCTGCTGAGCACCAGACCTTTGGTGCTCTTTAAGGTAGTCTGTCCAGACTTTCTCTTGGCATCCCCCACAACACCTAACCTGGTACCAGGGGCTGGTGTCCCTGCAGAGTTCACTCTGGTTTGAGTGGGGAGTGGGGAGGAAGGTGGAGTCCCAGGACCCTGAGGCCTGAGGCTCCTCACAGCTAGGGCTCTTCTCTGCCTGTAGGTCTCTGGGGTCAAGGACATAGGCCTTAGCCCACCTCCAGAGCTCTCATTCCTGGTGAGCAGAGACATCTGCTTCTGGCAGACTGTGGGTGGGGCACAGGGGGCAGAGATGAACGCGACAGTACCTGTGGGCCAGATGCCAGGAGGGACAGGATCTCCTTGAAGGAGTCCCCAGGGTGGAACTGCATGATGTCGGCTAGCAACTGCTTGGTGCTGCAGGGAGAGGGGGTTGATGGGGGAGAGGTAAGGGACAGGGGAAGGGTCTGGACATGGGACTGGCTAGATGGCAGACAGTAAGTGGACCCTGCCTAGCCAGGGACACTAGGGAGGTGGTAGAGTGAGGGGGAGTGTGTGTGAGGAGAATGCCACCCAGGAGGGAGACCCCTGTGATACAGAAACAGCCACCCCATTCTGAACATATTGTGGTCTCTCACACCTCTGTGTCCTCTGCCTACAGTGCCCTCCCTCGAAGTGTTTTCCTTTGAGTCCTTCGGTTGAAGCATGTACCTCCTCTTCTGTGAGACCTTCCCCAACCCAGGCGTCCCTTCTCAGCTGCCCATGTGCCAGACACCCACCTCCTTCTTGGTGGCGCTGGCTGTGTGTTCAGCCCTAGCCCCATCCTGCTGTAAGGCCTCTGATGGCAAGACGAAGCTGAACACCCAGCTCACTTGCTCGCTGGGTGAATGAGTGGGAGGGGCTGCCTTGCTGGCAGGGAGGCTGAGGTAGTGACTTGGCTCCTCTTCTGCCCGGGTGAGCAGCCCAGCCCTCCGTGAGTCCTCCCTCACCGTTGCAGAACTGGGGAAACCGAGCTCCACGCCCACCTCCCGACCACCACTGGGCAGCAACAGGGGATTAGAACTCGAGCTCCACCATCAACTGGCTGTGGGACTCGGGGCTAGTCACTTAACCTCAAGTTTCTTTCCTCAACTACAAAGCACTTTGTTACTAAGGTTAAATGATGGCATATGAAAAGCATTTGGTAAACATAAACACACACACACCCATTGTTGCCAGTATCTTAACTATTCCTTTGCCTTCAGCTACAACACAGATCAGAAGCTGAGGATGCAGGAGGCAAACAGCTGAGATGGCAACAAGAGGAATGCCACTTAGGCCTCAGGGAGAACTTTCTGAAGGACAAGAGCCCAGGAAGCAGGGGGCATGGCCACTTCAGTGTAGGCCATTTGACTGGCCTGAGATCGCGAAAGCTCAGGTCAGCAGGGAGCCAGGCCACTCTCACTCACCTCAGAAGTAGGCTGCGGGCACTGGTATCATCAGCGTCTGTCTCCAGCCCTTCAAACTTGTTGGTAAGTGTCAGGGACACTTCTAGTTTGCTCAGATCCACGTTCCCGTCTGCACCTACATTTCCCCCTGAGGCCAGGTGGGAAATGTGAGAGACGAGCACACACTTCCACATGCAGAAAGAGGTGTGGTGGACACACCGCTCTAGCGCCCTTCTTCCAGGAAGCCTTCCCACACTGCCCTGTGGCTCTGCCCTGAGCACCAGTGGAAAGGCTGTTCCCCACAGAGCTTACCCTCGCACTACTGGGCATGTGCCTCCTCGGTAGCCTCAGCCTGGGTGCCCTGAGGGCAGGGGGGCTGTACCTCCCTGAGCCCGGAGCTCCTGGCTCTCTCCTGTCTGTCCACATCCCCATTCTGCCCGCCCACCCCCAGAATACGCTCCTCCCACTCTATAGCTCCTGAAATCCTTCCTTGTTAGGGGAACTTTCGAGACCCCAAACAGGACCATCTCCCTCCACATCTATCTTACGTGGTTTAACCAGCCATTTATATGATGGTACCGAGTCTCTCTACTCTCCGCCTGCCTTTTCCACAGTAGTGTGTGCCCAAGTGTCCATCTCCCGGCCAGAGGGGGAGGGAGGACAAGTGTGTAATCAGCTTCCCGGCACACATTCCAGACTGAACAAAAACTCCAGAAAGGGCACGTGAGCATGCCCTGCTCACCTGCCTGTCCATCCCTCCCTCGGCCTCCCTGCAGGCCCCCTGCCAGCCCAGCTGGCCCCAGCACGCACCGATGAGGTCAGGGACAGTGGGCAGCTCTCCAAGGTCCTCCAGGAGCTCATGAAGAGGGTCCTGGTGACCAGGAGCAATCCAGTCCTGGTGCTCCAGCAACAGCTGCAGCGTGGAGGAAGTGAAGGAGACGCAGGGCCTGAGCCAGGCCTTCCTTCGAAGGCCAGCCTTCCACCCCGCGTGGACTTCCAGAGCCCAGCCCACCTACCCAGCACCCCCCAGGGTGCAGCCCCTCACCTTGTGTGTGTTGATCAGCTCCCCCACGGTGATGTACACCACGGGTTTAGACACGGCCACCATATCCAAGTACTCATCCACTGCAAAATGCTCTTCTGGCTCGGGCACCTGGCAGGCTCGGCAGACGAACCTCCTGTCTCCACAGGGACAGGGTGTGAAAGCGCGGGGCAGGTCAGCACCCCACAGCGCTCTGTCCCCACAGTCCTTCCTCTGGCCCCTCCAGTGACTGTTCAAGCCAACCCCGACTCTCCAGACTCAGCTCCACCCCTCCGTCCTGCCCCATCTCTCTCCTGGTTCCCTCAAACCACTTCCTCCAATAGTCCTCTTTTATCTCCACCGGGAAGTCCTTCCAGTAATCTCCCCTCCAGCCCACTAACTATTCCCTTCAGCCCATGCCTCTCTTCCTCATGGGTTCCAGAGAGAAGCAGGAAATAAAAGATGAGGAGAAAAAGGGGTTAGGGAGGAACAAGGGTGCCAGGACCCTAGACCTGAACTTGAGGTGTATCTGCTCCAGATAATCATTCAGGACTCGCAGGTGCTGGCTCTCCCCAGAGAAGGTTTTGCCAGCTGCGGCAAGCTGCAGGAGTTGAGCCACAGCCCCCAGGGTGTGGCGCTGGGGGGTGGCCAGGGCACCGCCTGCGGCCATGGCCACAATGTCAAAGGCGTCAGGGGCCACTACAGCTGGGTTCAGGAAGCGGTAGTACAGGAGGTTCCCCACAACCTGAGGGCAGAGGAGATCATTCCAGAAGCGCTCTGAGGTCTGCCGTGCCCGCCCCAGCCCCATCCTAACCCACCCAGCTCACTTGGCTGGAAAGGACCACCTCTATCACTGAGACAATGCTGTCATTTTATAAAAGAGAAAGCAAGACCCAGAGCAGGCCAGCAACTTGAGCAAGAGATGGGACTAGAACCCAGATCTCCAGACAAGTCTGTGGTTATCTACTCTGTCAGTTCACATCCCAGTTGCCTTTCCATCTGCCAGTTGAAGCCCTGCTGGTAAGCCAGGGTCAATTTACATGGTGGAGAATATTTTCCTTCTTGTGTTTTTACATTTTACAGGGTTGATTTGTCCTTTTATCTCAGTCTGGGGGTTCACAGACAATGCTGGCGCAAAGGAAAGCCCAAGAGGCTGGGGTGGAAGAACAACGCTTGCCTTATAGATTTCCGTTTCGGTGGCATCAGGGAACTTCTCCGCCAGAGTCACCTTCAGGACCTTGGCCACATACCGCATCCCGTAGCTGCAAAGTAACTGGGGTTCTACCAGAGTTCAAGTCACGAGTGCCTGCCTGCCCCTCCCTCCTCAGGCTCAGCCACACCAGAGCTGGGCATGAGCACTGGCCCTCTAGAGCTGGCTCCCTGACGCCTCCTCCAGACATCTCCGGGCCTTCCCCTTCCTTCCTGCACTGTCAGTGACCAAAACTACGCTAGACTCTCACACAGTTTCCCCCCTGACCCGAGAGTCTCTTCTTTGGCCCCTATAGTTTCCCTGGGGACTCCCCAGATCCCAGTATTCACCCTGCATTTCTCCACAGAGACACTTTTAGCCTGAAGCTCGGGTGTCTGACACTCACAGCCAGAACCCTGCCCAAGGACAGCCCAGGAGGCCCCAAGGTGGCTGACCTTGTTGGTTGTCACGGAGCACCTGTGAGGGGCCTGGCCTGGGAGAGGCAGGGCCCAAGCACAACAAGGAACTGAGGTAGGAGCTCCAGTCCCGACTCTACTGCCACCCAGAGATACCGGTTCAGGCTATTTTCTTCCCCTTTGAGAGCTGTCCCCTGGTCTAGAGGATGGGGATGAGTGTTCTCGCCTTCTCGGTTTCATAGGGTTTTCGTGAGGGTCAAGGGAGATTATGTCTATGAAAGTGATACGTAATGGTAGAGTGCTACTCAAACATTCCAGAACTTATTATTATTATTTTTATTATTCTCATCATGGATGTGCCACCTACAAACTTCTTCAAATTTGTTTGAAAGCTATGTCTATCTCCTAGGATGCCAGAGACAGGAATCTCCAGCTCATTGTGTACTTTCCTTTTTGGGCTCTGGGACAACCCTAGCTGTACGCTCGCAGCCCCGTCCTCCAGGTCTGGGGAGCAGAGTTCCAGTCTCTGTCGGCTCGCTCCCCCGCATGCCCACCTTGCCCCCCGCAGCAGTAAGCCCCAGGAAGGCTGGCTGGCTGATGATGACCTAGGTGCTAGGCTCACCTTGTCAATGTTTTCAACCATTTGTTTTTTTTAAAAAACCCACCTACTAAATTTTAAGAAAGGAGAGAACTATAAAGTGCTTACTGCTTTGAAGTATTTCTCATTTTTGACTTTGTGGACTGAAGAGTCCTATTATCCCCCATTTGTTCTGAGATAATAAAACGTCCCCATAACCACCTGACGTTCCCTTCTCTGGCTCCAGTGCTGTCCTAACAGGTCACACACAGCCCTGCGTGCTGTACTCCAGCTCAGTCTCCAGGAAAGTGTTCATCCCCTCTCTCTCCACCCATCTCCTGGAAGCCCTCGGGCAGCCCCAGACACATCTCCCTCCCTGCCCTGCCCTGCCCACCCAGGACAGCTCTGCTCTTCCCATCGGGGCCCGGCCTAGGCTGGGGTGGGGCTGCTGCACATACGGAATTTGGTCCACAGATGAGATGATGGCTACCAGGAACTTATCAGTTGTGGCAAGGAGGGTGCGAAGGGAGATGTCCAGTCGTCTCTGGACCTCAGAGTGGCTCAAGGCCTGCTCCGAGGTGACGTTGTAGGGGAGGTGGCTATGGGCAGAGAGAGACGAGGCTATCAGCCAGAGCCCCTCCCATGGATGCCCCTGCCCAAGCCCACCCCCTTGAACTCTCATCTAACAACAGCATTTCACACATACTCATTTGCGAAGGGCAGCCCGGCATGCTTATGGGGATCAGGCCAGAATAAGAGAAAGGACTCAGAGAGGACTAGAGCCATATGAGTGGAAGGTGAAGAAAAAAGAGCTCGAATATCATTCTATGTTAGGCACAGGGAGCTGGAAGAGTGCAGAAGGGAATGATGAACCTGGAGTCTGTGGAAAGAGTCCCAAAGAAAATGGAGGACACCATCCATTTGTATCTAGTCTCTCGCAATTAGGGCAACAGGGAAAGCCAGGCCAGGGCCTTGCAGTCCCCCATCCACAAGCCTGCATGCCACCAGGAGACGCCACCAGGAGACGCCATCAGCACTGCCTGCTCTCCTCAGTGGCTCCATTTCCCTAGTACCTATGCACTTGAGCAATGCCTCCAATCTATAAGGCCAACCTATTTCTCTCATAATCTCACTTGCCTATTCATTTGTAAATCTGAATATTCATCTATGCCCCTATAAATAAAGAGTCCATATTCCAACTCTCAGCAAGTCTGACATATCATTTGCAAGCACTGACATAGCAATTAAACGAACTTGCATATTCATCTGTGCTGCTCATTCTATGTTAGGCACACCAGGTCCAATGTCACTTACATCAGTTCCATGTTAATTACCAGAGGGGTTTGAAAAGCTACCTTATTTCATCCTGTAGGGCTGGTGTCATATTTTCATAAATCAGCATGCTCATTTATATGCCACCTTCACAGCACACCCAAGCTTCCCCAGCGAGAGGCCTAGGACAGAGCTGACGAGAGAGAGCTCTCCCTCTGTCCTCTCTCTGCCTGTCTGCTCACCTGCGCTTCCCCGTCTGGGCCTCCGTCTGGTTGATCCAGCTCTTGTAGATGTGAACAGGGTCTGTGTGGATGCTCAGCATCTTGTCCTCCAGCACGTCCTGGACAACCTTGCCCAGGATCTCCATCAGGGCACTCTGGCCACGCCCATTACGGTAGAATCTCACCACCAGCCTCACCACAGTTGGGTTGCCTGTCACCATGTCCTGGGGCTGTTCCACCTTTGACCTGTAGTTCAAGAAGTCATTGAAGCTAGCCTCCTGCTTCTGTGTAGGACAAATATTGCCTTTTTGAGATGGTGGCTCTTGAAGCCTGCTCTGGTGTCCCTCCTCTTAAAAATGTCCTGCTACCTTCATCTCATCTTTGTGCTAACATGTCCGCCCACTGTGCTGTCCTAGGGCATTTCCTGTTGTCACTTCACTGGTGGCAGAGAAAAGCTGATGACTACGTTTCTATCCTCAAACCTCAACAAATTGTTACCTTGTGAAAGTACCGACAGCGGCATCTCTTAACCTACTCTTTCTGTACCTTTGCACCTGGAAAACCTACTTGATTTCCTCCTGGAGTGCTGTCTTGAACAGCTGGAGCAGGAGATAGGCCTCACGGCGGTTGGAGGCATAGTTGTAGAGGCCGAAAATCACCGACTCCATGAACTTGGTGGTTTTGTTCTGTGGCATCAGAAAGATCAGCTTGGCCAGGTAGATGGGTTGAGTCTGCAAGCAACAAGGGAGATGAGAACGGCTGCTTGTGCACCTTGAGGACTAGTGACCAGATAAAAGAAGGTTTTCCTGACGGGGACTTGCAATGGAGGAAACACTGTCACGCTTTCTCAGGGGCACTGGAGACCTTCAGACACAATGGAGGAAACAGTCTCAGGGAGTAAGGCATTAGGGTCACTGAAAAGGACATCTCACATGAAGGCAAAAGCACGGACACAAAGGCCTCAAGGTCCGAGACCCTCAGGAGATGGTGACGACATCTCCTTCCAAAGTCCTCTGCTCACCTGGAGCAGGTAAAAGAGGTGTTGGTAAGCTTCTAGTTTCTGCCGTTTCTCTTTGCTCAGCGACTTCAGTCCCTTCTGCTTGTCCAGAACCATCATATCCGACAGCTGTTCCTTATTCTTCTTGGTCAGCTTCTTGCAGTGGGAGACTACCTCCTGCAGAGGTCGGGGAACAGGTGATACAACCAGCCCAGGCCAGCCCGGAGCACAGAACATATGGTCTGAAATCAATGCCTGGAAGAGCCAGGGCTTTCTGCTGCTGAAGGTATTCGAGGCATGAGCCAAGGGAGATACCCAGTTCTAGGGTGAGGAAGAGCCCCTCCTACTGCCCTGAAACTCCACCTGACACCCCTGCTCTCGCACGGTGAGTCCCCAGAGAGAACTGGGTTGCCAGGCTGAGACACAACACAATGCCTAGTAGATTTGCTTTTAGCTCTTCTATTAAAAAAAAGAAAAAAATTTTTTAGCAAGACTTTATCTGAACCAAAACTGACAACAATTACCGAGAAACAAGATCTAAAACGCTCCCGTTAGTTCTTACTGGACTGCTGCACAGATTTAAGTGGAGATACATTTCTACCCAGTCCTTGAATATTTGTGTGGTAACTTACAGTTTAAGGAGCTTTCGCATCCATCTCTACATTTGGTCTGGTGAGGTGGGCTCCCTCATTATCCCCACTTTACTAATGAGGAAACAGACTTCGCAGTTAAATGACCAGCCCATAGAACCACCACTAAGAATCAGCAGAGCCAGACATTTCAATTTTATGTCAGTGCTCTTTCTACTGTGTCACGTGTGCTCAATATATTACTAGAATAAAAGAGGACACCTAGGTTAGGGACCTGAGCCAGGTGATGAAATCAAGACATTTAAAAGTATTGGATTAGCAACCAGAGAATGTCCAGCAGCACGGCTTCAGAAGCAGCTGGATTTGGGGGAGAGGGTGGGCTGGTAGCCCCTCACCTGCAGGGTGATCCGGTTCTTCACCAGCAGGCCAATCTTGATGTCCAGGAGGTTGAGGTCCTGCTCCAGCTGCTGGTTGGACCGGATCTTTCTGACCACCTCTTCTTGTAGCTTTAGCAGCTCTGCCTCAGCCAAGAAGTCCTGCTGGCTTTGATTCAAGAGGTGGACAAATCTGCATACCACGCTGAGAGGGGGATGGGGCGTATGGACTGGGAGCAAGGGAAGAAGCATCAGGATTAGATATGCCCTCATCAGAGGCTTCATCGCCCACCTCCTACCCTTGTTATCCCACCCCGTCCCCATTCTGATTGAGGCCAGCAGGCCCCCAAACCAGTCCTTTTCTAGCTGGTTGTGCTTGTAGGTGGAGGACAATGGGCAGCCTCCCACCCAGTCCTGTTCCTGAATGCCTTATCTTATAACCAAGTATGACATAAGAGCTGTCCTTTCCCTGCCTGTGGATTCGACCCCAACCAAGGCCCATCCCAGTGACTTCCACACCAAAGTCAGAGCCCTAGCTCCCTCAGATGATCCCCCCAGCCCTCCTATTCTGACTCACTACTTACTCTAGCTGAGCCAAATCCCAAGTTCACCTCCACTTAACAGCCTCCACTCAGCCCTACCTACTCCTCACACAACCCCCGTCAGGAGTGTCTGCACAGGAAGGGATGCCCAGTGGGTTTTATAATACAGGGAGGTCAGAGATAGATGGCTTTCTCCTGGAATCACTTTTGGAATGGGTATTTGAGCAAAGCTGCATGGAATAGCAACAAAACTACATATAATATGCGGTATGGGACAGAAACTGTTTTACATACTTAACCCCATGAGGTCAGTACACTAAAACCAACTGATGAAATCACTGAGGCACAGAAACGGTAAGCAACTTGACTTGTTTACACAGCTAGTGATAAATGAAAGAGTCAGATTTGAACAATGAATAAAATGAGGCCCTGTCCAGTAAGAGAACTAGACAAAGAAACCACAATTCACAACAGTGCAGTTAGTGTTTTCAGAGGCATGAACATGGGGACCTTCGGGGAAACATAAACAGGCCACCCAAACCCTCCTGGGGAGTGAAGAAAGGCTTCCTGGAAGAGGTAAGGCTCTCAACCTGATATCTAAAAAGTAAAAGCAAGCAAACATGGGTGGCTGTTTCAGGAGATGCCAGAAGTCCATCATGTCTGGAGCGCAGTGCAGAGGGTGCAGGTGGTGAGGGACAAAGCCAGGGGGCAGTGAGGCCAGAGGTACAGGCAGAGGCCGGACCACAGAGAGCCTTGGACGCTGTGGTTGGGAGACTAGGCTTCTACCCAGGGCAATGGGGTTCACTGAGAGGATTTACACGAGAGAGTGACCAGATCACATGTACAGGTTTTGTGGATTAATCTGGTTGCTGCATGCAGGGCGGGTCTTGGACAAGTGAAGAATGGTAGAATTGAAGACAACTAAAGGCATCTTGAAATACAGTACATTACCTCATTTAACCCTCAAAACAACCCTACAAGACAGGTACTGTCCTTATCTCCATTTCACAAATGAGAAAACCAAGGCAACAAATAAGTCAAGTAACTTGCCTAGGGCCACATGGCTAGTAAGTGGCAGTGCTGAGGAGAGCTTGGGATAATAAAAGTGGGCGACAGAACTGAGAAAAGCAAGTTTTTTAGACCTGACTAGCGTGTCTCAGTGAGTTGGGCATCATCCTGCAAACCAAAAAGTTGCCAGATGATTCCTGGTCAGGGGCATGTGAGAGGCAGTCGATTGATGTTTCTCTGCCTTTCTCTCTCCCTCCCTCCCCCTCTCTAAAAAAAAATAAAAACAAAAACAAAACCCTTAAATTTTAAAAAAAGAATGTTCTTTCAGGAAAACTATAAACTAACGAAAGGAAAGAGAAGACAAAGGACAGCAAGGACAGTGTTATTAGCATACAGAAAGAGAAAAAATAGTAAGGGCCAGGCTGGGGAAAAGTAAGGAGGAAAAGCAGCTGGCTGTCTGAAACAGATGGGCTGAGCGTCCGTGGCCAGAGGGAACAGGAGGCGCCCCCGAAGGTAGGACAGGGTGAAACAAGGGACTGGGGAGGTGAAGAAGATGACTGACTCCCAAACAGTATATTCAACTTGGAGCCCAGGAGTGTGACCTCAGGCCCAGAAAGGAAAAGGGCCAACTTTTTCAGGAATCCAAGAGCCAGTGGGGAACCTAGGGATGGACCATCAGTCCACCTCTCAACAAGGAGGAGGACCTCCAAGGCTAGGCTTCTGGTCTTTGGACAGGAGCCAAGAGGAGCCCAGAAGGACCTCCTCAAATGCATGCCCCACCCTGACCAGTGTGGCTCAGTTGGTTGGGCATTGTCCTGGAAAGTGAAGGGCTGCCAGTTTGATTCACGGTCAGGGCACACGCCTGGGTTGCAGTTTCGGCCCTGCTTGGTGCTTCTCCCTCACATCTATGTTTCACTACCTCTCTTTCTTCCCCACTTCTCCCCATAAACAAACAAACAAACAAAATAAATAAAATGCAGTGCATGCCCCACTAGCCTCACCTGGATTCCTGCGTGCTGTACCACAGAGGCTGGGAGGTAGAAGGGTCATGGGCAGGGAGAGGGCAAAGTGGGAGAAGGCTAGAACTCTAGGGAGAGGAAAGAGAACCTTTTCTTTTTTCGTGGCTTTAGTAATAGCAACAGAAGATAACTGAAGCCTAATATATAATGAAACTGGTTAGAGGAGCTGTCCCTGTGACCAGACTTTTTGTTACTGGGGTGGGCAGGGTGGCTTTTGTTACCACCCATTTGACATTCGTGCACAGACAAGAACGGAGGAGGACTTGTACCTCCCCCTTGCCTGCTGTGCAGCCCCAGCAGGGATATCTACACCTGCCTGATTCTGGGGGACCTCTAGCTCCTCCATTAAACTGGGGGATCCCCAAAGGCAGGGGCACATCTCCTCACTGTTCTGCCCACTCCAGGTCCCAAGGCATACTGAAGGTTTGCTGTCAATGAGAAAAAAGAGCTCAAGAAGGCCAGGAAACTCCTCGAGGCCCCACTTTGTAAGTGGTGGGGTGGGGTGACTCTCTCCCTTGCTGACGGTTGGAAACCATCAGACTGGCCCGGTGGACACTCACAGACGGCGGCAGGAGACCAGGCAGTTCACTCACAGTGCAGAGAAAGACCAGGCAGCTTACCTAACCTCCTGTAGTCATCTCGGGCTTTCCTGGCTCGGAAAAACGCCTGGATCTTAATGACAGAGTCAACCTGTCATGAACACGGATGGAAAAAAGGTCACTGCCTGCCCTTGCCCTGGTTTCACGAGTAAAGGTTGAGTATAGAGACAGGGGGAGCAGGGGGACCCTCACATTCTTCTGGAAGTAGCCCAGTCGCCTCTGGTATTGCCTTCGAGCAGCCCACATCCGGGCCCAAGCTTGAATCTGGGGGGGAAAAAAAAAGAGAGACACACACACACAATGCCCTCAGACCCAGGACAATTGAGCCATCTCCAAAGATCACAAGTTAGTGAGAGGACTAAAAGTTGTTCTCAGAGGATCTTTCAAGAGAGAAAGGAACCTGCCCAATCATGACAGCTACCTTGATTACAGCATCTACGTTTGCTTTTAAATACTGCAGCCGTTCCAAGTAAAGCTTCCGTTGTCTGTAACCCCGCCAATGGGCCTGTGCATCAGGAGAGAAAAAGAAGTAACCTTGGCTGGTCGCTGTTGACCTGAGAGGTTTGTGGAAAAGCCTTACCTTGGGCTCTCCAAGGAAGGGTGGGATCAGGCAAGCAGAGGGGGGAGGGGAAAGGTCCTGTTCTCAAAGAACTTCCAGTTTCGGGGGCAGACCAAATCCCTGCACATAGCCCACCATGCCCTCTGCCCCACTCCCTGGTACCAGCTTGCATGTACCCACTAGACAGTGGAGCACACACACACACACATGCTAACCAACACCTCCTCACAGAAACTCAACTGTAAGGTACAGTTGCTTAAAAGAAATGAATAAAGCATATGCCACCGCACCAACTTCAAACCATGCACCATATCCCTCCAAAACACACTCATCCCCCCATTTGGAATCCACCCGAACAACATCACACACTCCGCACTCCCTCACATTCAGTCTGGGAAGGCACACAGTGCCAAGGTCTGAAAGTGTGCACAGGCAGTGCTGTGTGCCCCCCACCTCTACCAATGGGCAGCAGGTCACTAAAACCCTTATAACTCACACTTCTCTTTATAGCTCTACCACACAGCTCCCCACCCCAGCTCTAAGCAAGCAAGGTCCCCAGTCATTCAGCTGCCAGTCTGATGGCCTCTCCCCCTCACTGGTCGGCTACAAAGGGTTCAAGCGACCATCTCCTCCATAATCCACACCCTCTTTGGTCTCTAAGACACAAATCTCACGGCTCCCTCCTATTATTGTCTCCTTCCTAGGGCCTTCTTCCCTTTCACCCCGAGCTTGTGTGACGTTAATTTTCCCCGAAGAACCACTTGGACTGAGTCTCTCTCAGCCCCAAGGTTCCCAACCATCTGACCCACACTCCCACCTGACTCCCTACCTTCTTAAGGATTCTAGCCACATCAGACATTTCACTTTCTCCTAAACATGCTTTATGATTTTCTGCCCCCGAATCTTTGTTTATATGCCCACCCTCATCTCCCCTCTGAAACCCTTCCTGACTTTCTTGGCACATGTCAAATACCTCCTGGACACCGCAGCCCTGGAGTGCTCCACCACTGACAATGTCACAGTTTGGTGGGTTATGTGTATCCCCTTTCAGTCAATTGTCCTCCCAGCCCTTCTTAAAGGCCAGGCTTTCCCTAGCCTGAGGATTATACTGTCCCTCCATTGGGACAGGATGTAAGACACGGCTTGGCTCCATGACACCAGCTGCCTGTTCCTCTTCGAGTGTAGAGGCCAGAGGGACCCATTTCCAAGTCTTTCCTCAGCACTCCTTCCTCTCCTGCTCCAGGTACTGCCTGACATTCCCTCCGCACCACTGCTGGAGTGAAAGGCAAAAGTCCCTCTGCTCTTGCCCCCACCCACCTCTCATGTCTCCTCCTTAAAGAGGAGGCCTCCCAATCTGGATTGGTTGGAATTCAGGACTCTGACTGAGGTCCTGGCCAAGGTCAGAGCTTTCAGGAGAGATTACAGTCTCAGCACACCCAAGAGGGCTCATTTCTGACTCTCCCTTCTCCACAGGTGGAGGCCAGTGGGCCTGAGGTTCTGTGTCCCCTCTGCTGTCTCCCAGGACAGGCCAGACCCGCACAGCACCAGTGCTGGTAGCAAATGACTCGATCCTCCTCCCACTGTTGGTGTGGCTTTTTGGGTCCTTAGAATTGGCCTGAAATCCCAGTCTGGGCTCATAGGAGGGAGCCCCTGTGCTTAAGGCCACTAAATGTTGTTACTAAGACTCTGTATTGAGTTCTTGGACTGAGGTCCTGAAATTTAGTGACTCTTAGTGGCTACACTAGCGATGGAGTGCCTACTACACTCAGTGCCACATGGAACTGTCCTACTCAACCGTCAGATGAGGCAAGCACCACCATTATAAACAAGGAAACTGAGTGCTGCAGAGGGCTTAGGTGGGTGCCCCAGGTCATAAGACCCGGAAACAGTAGGACCAAGGAGGCAAACTCCAGCCTCTGACTCCAAAGCCTGAGCCTTCAATTACCACCCACATGACCTAGATCATAATCCATAACTGAGGACCGCTGAGTCAGCCTGTGCCTCTGTCTCCCTGGGATGCTCTGAGGCTGTCTTTGTCTCTTTACCACAGTTGTAACATCAGTTGTACTCCAGTGTGTGTGAGGGGAGAGGTGTGATCAGTCAGCTGTGTCTCACACCTATCTCTGTGCCCCTGCAGATACTAGGCATTCAGAAATGCTCATTAAATAAAGTCTTTTTACATTGCCAACATCTCCACAGGGCACTCCAGGTCACAACCACCTGGGAAGGTCTCTGTTTGTTCACCTTCCATCATTCCTGGCTTGTAAAGTGCTCGGGCCTGAGGCCTATCTTTCTAGTTGGCCTTATGACCCAGTTACCTGTGGGTCAGTCTTCGAGGCCACACTGAACCAGCCCCAAGTTGCAAGAATAAAACTGGAAAGGGCTGACTAAAGAGAAAGGACAGAAGTTCTTTCCCTAAGAGATATTCTGCTCCTTCTGCATTTATCCACCACCCTCTCTCTTCACTCCTCTTCTTCTAGAAGGAAGTTCTCCTGGTGTCTAAACCCTGAAGTCTTACTAAATCTCCTCCACTCTCCCCGTGGGAAAGTAACAAGCAGCTCTCCCACCCTCTGGACAGAGACAGTGGCGACAGTAACCAGCACGTAGGCCATGTGTCTGTCTACCTGCCAGGCACTATTTAAAAGCACTATAGATATTATCTCACTAATCCTCACAACGACCCTATAAAGTGGGTGCTGTAATTTTCAGATTCCCATTTTTCAGATGAAGAAACAGAGAAAGTAAGTAACTTGCCATAAGTGATAGAGCTGGGAAGCAAACCCAGGTAGTCTGGGGCTCAGAATCCTTGCTCTTAACCAGTATGTTCAGAAGCCAAAAGATCATTCCAAACCCATTCAGCAAAAGGGAACTAGTGAGGGAACCATGAAGCCTGGTAAGTGCAGGCCCTGAGGACTGAGAAAGCCAGAGCCTGCCACCTGGATCTTGATGACTGCTGGGAGCCAGGTCCTCAGAAAGTGCGAATGCTCAGCAAACTTCTGCCGAACCAGGAAGCCACGGAGACAGGCCTGGAGTTGGACGACAAAGCCAACGTTGGCCTTCCAGAGCTGTTGGCGGTCATGGGCAGCAGCAACCTTGGTGACGGCTGCCTGTGGAGGCAGGAAAAAAGAGCTTTTGGTGCCTTTGTGGGTGGGAACCTCTCTTACAGGGGATCCCTCACCCATGGTCCCCTCCCTCGTAGGGGCCTTGCCAACCTGGATCTCCTCACGAGTCAGGTGGGAGGTGTTGAGGTGGCAGCCAAGGGGTCGTTCCCAGGTACCCTGGAAGGTCTGTAGATGGAAGTAGTAGGCAGTGCCATCCTTCATGTCATGTTGAACCCAGAAAGCTGTGTCCCCTAAGCAGAAGCCAAGTAAGCAAAGAAGGGTCGGTGGAGGCAGCAGGTGGCTGGGCAGGCAGAGAACTGGAGGTCAGGCTAAGGCCATTACCTGCGCGCCTCTTCTTTGCCATGGCATCTTCCAGGACCCGCTGGTAGCCATCGGCAAGGTCAGGAACCACCCCTCGGAGGCCCACAGCGGGATTCCTCAACACCCGCTCTGTCTGGGCTGCTTTGCCCTCCTTGATGGCCTGATTGATGGCAGCCACACCAAGAGCCACTGGCAGGGGCATCAGAAAGGAGTGGTCATCCTTCCCTGAGTCCCTCCCATGAGCCCTGTCCTGTCCACCAGGGAGGGATTCAGAGAAGGACACTAAAACACCCGATATGATGGAGAGGACAGGGAATATCCCAGGATGGATGCAGACAGGTGAAAAGCAGCAGCACGCAGCTGTGCTTGGAAGAAAAGAGATCAGTTGAGAAAGGCTTCCTAGAGGGAGGTGGCATGGGGCGGGGCTGGGTAAAAGGAAAGTCAACTTGTACAGAAGGTCAACGGCAGGGTATGGGCACAGAGCCTCAGGACAGTTTCCTAGGAGAAGAATAAAGTCCAAGAAGTGGAGGTGGTTGATGCAGCACCTGCCTTCCAGTCACTCACAGGCAGACAGATGGACGTAGGGACTCCAGACACTGAGAACTAACATGTTTCTGTCTGTTTGTACTGATCCTACCTACTTTTCCTCAAAACCAACCCCTCTTCTCCGCACTCAAGACTAGACATTCTCTAGCCAGAGCTGATTGTTAGAACCCAAACAAGCTACCAATAGCAAATGTTACGAACGTCTGGCCCCCACCCGATTCCACATGCCCACTCGGTTGGGGAAAGTGCCCACACAGAAGGAGGCAGTGAGTGAGTGGACAATGCCCTCTCAACTCCGGAGCCTGTCCTGCCCAGTCACTTCTGGGAAACCCATCCTGTGGTCTGAGCAGCTGACCTTGCTTTCTGAAGCCAGCCTGCCTCCCCACGGAGGTTGAAAGGGAGACGGAGTCCACCTGATTATCTGGGCTCCAGCTGAACCCACAGTTCCTTCCCTCCTCTCTGCCCTGGTGCCCCTACCCAGCCTGTTTACTTCTCTGAGCTGCGTCTGTGTCCTGGTTGGCTCTAGCCACTTCCTGGCGGATCTCTTCCAGCCACAGCACAGCTCCAGGATCTCCTGTCCTCTGGAAAATTGAGAGATAGGAAAGAGAAACGCCCAGTGTGGTCTCTCCCTGGTTCCCAGGTTCTCTCAGGGGAACCCCACTGCAGAGCCACAGGGACAGCAGTCCCCACTCCCCAGTCCTCATCCTCCTGCCCTGCTTAGGCACAGCCTTGTGACTCTCTGGGACTGCTGCCCTCAGAAGGCTCTTTGCTACCTGTTTTCAGGTCAGCCCAGCATCGACTCAGCTTGGCCACAGCATCCCCAGAACTCTCTTACACTTACCTCATTATCCACCACCCTGTTAACAGCTCACTTCCTGCCTTTGTTCCTCAGCCATGTCCACAGAGAGCCGACAATGAAGGCTCCACCTACTGCCCTTACTCCCCATTATCCTACGCCTCAGTTCACACCTTCTCAGGCCAGTCCTGATCCTGACCTTCACCTTCTGCTTCCTAAACTCTGCCGCACAAGGTAGTGGAAAGATTACGTGCACTGCATTCTTCAGTTCATTTGACTCCCTCCCACCCCATGACCAGGGCATGTAGTATTTTATGGATGGATAAGTGGAGCTCAGAGACATTAGAGATTTGCCAGAGGCTACACGGTCTCTGATGTCAGAGCAGGATGTGTCTAGCCCAGTCCTCTGGCTCCCAGGCTGTGCCCTCCCCACACATAGGCCCCCACCATTCTCTCTGTGCCCACGACTAGAGCTGTCAGTGCTCTGGCCACGCAGGCCATCTTCTCCTCCTCCTGCCCCCACCCCTAGAGAGAACTGTGTTCACTAGGTTGAGGTTCTCAGTGACACCTACTGGGCACAGCCCTACCAACAAAGGATGTTCTTCCTGCTCTGGTGACCAACCCAGACAGCCCAAACCTCACCTGGGCCTTCTGCCTTTTGGCTGCCACGAGGAGAAGATGGTACCGAGGGGCAACAGGAAGGTTGACATTGTCCAGGCCAGCCGAGGGAAGCAACAGGGCAAATAGGGTCTTCTCAGGGCTGTCTTGGTTCAGAGCCTCATTGATGAGGCTGACCGCAAAGACCTCTGGGAAAGAGAGCTAGATGGGCAGAGGGCCCAGACGTATGGCTAAGAGACAGGGCTACCTGCGGTGGGCCATGCTCCCCAACCCAAGACTCCACTCACGATTGGTCTCTTCCTGGACCTGGGCGTTGACCTGGCTCACAGTGGCCTGCAGGTCATTCCAGCTCAAGAAGGCCCCATCCACTCCTTGCACCTGTCGCAGCTTTACCAGAGCATCAAAGTAACTGGCAGCAGGGTGAGCAAGTGCATCATCAGCCAGAAGTCAGGGGAAATTTCTGAACCACATTCCTCACTTGGCCTCCAGGATATCAGTCTCTTGGTTCTCTTCTCATCTCACTGGCTATTCTTTCTAAGCCTGCTCTGTTGGCTCTTCCCTGACTTCTAAACATTGGAGTATCTCCAGGCTCAGCCTCAAACCTCCTTCCTCCCCACACCCACGTCTGTCCGAGGTAATCTCATGGCTTGAAACACCAGATTCTAATAACTCCCCAAAGCACACGTCCAGCCTGTTCACAAATCCAAGCTGCCCCCTCAGCATCTCCATGTGAAAGCCTGATAAGCACTTCAAACCGAATAGCTCACCCTGATCTCCTGATCCCCCTGCTCAATTTGCATATTCCACAGTACCTCCCACCTAGGTAAATACTCACACCAACCTCTCAGGCCAAAAATCTGGATGTCATATCTGATTCCACTCTCTCTCACATCCCATATCCATTACATAAGCAAATCCTGTCAGTTTGACTTTCAGAATATATCTCAAATCTGAACACTTTCCACCACCTCCACTGCTATTGCCCAAGGCCAAGCCTCCATCACCTACCTCTGCCTGGATTACTTCGATAAATGTCTAACAGGTCTCCCTGCTTCTCCCCTTCTAACCTGTAGTCAATTCTCAGCACAACAGCCGGAGTGATCCTATTTAAAGTAGGTTAAATCATCTCCCTCCTCACTCAAAAGCCTCCTCTGGCTTCCATCTTCCCTGGACTAAAAGCCAGAGCCTACATCATCTGGCCTCTACTTCATCTCCCACCAATCTCCTGATGGCTTCTTGGTGTGCTCTGAATATGCCAGGCTCACTTCTCAGGGCCTGTGCTCCCGAGAGCCTCATGCGAACCACTTTTGCCCTGTAGGTCCCTCTCAAAATGACCCCTTACAAGAGAGGCCTTCTGTAACCACACTGTGTGAAACAGACAGACCGCCTGCCCCCACCCCCCCATAAGCACCTCTAGTGTCCCGTTTTATTTCCACCACAGCTCCTCTTCTCTCCTAATCATCTGGCATGTTTATTTTTTGTCTGTCCCCACCACTAGTGTGTAAATTTGAGGAGAGCAGAACTTCGTTTTGTTCACTATTGTTTCCCAGCACGTAGAACAGTATCTGGCACCTAAGTGGGTCCTCAAATCTTTGTGATATAAGAGCAGTTAGATTAAGGAAAGGGAAATGACTATGCCCCCGCCCATTCCTAGGAAGAAAAGGCCACCACGTAAGAAGGCTAGTCTCCAAGTAGAACTGGGAGCCTTGGCTACATTCCCTCCAAGCCATTCCCTACATTCCCTCTCAACATGGGGCTTAACCTTTCTCACCGATGAGCATTCTCTCCTTCCACCTCGGCCAGGCCCGTGGCAGGGTTCACCAGGCTGCTCCAGAAGCCACTGGCATCACGGGCCTCCAGGGCCTGGTTAATCAGGACCACAGCTGACAACATCTCCACGGCCACAAAGAGCTCCTCCTGACCAAGCTCCTATAGCAGGGGAGGGCTGGTGAATGCAGCGTCTGGGGTCCACCTGCCATCCTGTCCCCAAGACTCTGCTATATCCCAGAGTCTCTATCCCAAAACTTCATTCCCTAACAGTCATATTTAACATCTGAGAATGCTTACTATATGTTCAGTGTGTAAGTATTTCACACAAATTGTCATTTTTTTTTAAAGATTTTATTTATTTGTTTTTAGAGAGGGAAGGGAGGGAGATAGAGAGAGAAACATCAATGTGTGGTTGCTGGGGGTCAAGGCCTGCAACCCAGGTATGTGCCCTGACTGGGAATCGAACCTGCAATGCTTTAGTTCGTAGCCCACACTCAATCCACTGAGCTACGCCAGCCAGGGCTCATTTAATTTTCATAACAAGTGATGAGGCAGGTTTTAACATCCCCATTCACAGGTGAGCCCACAATCAAATTATGTAAGTTAAACCCAGCTGCCTGACTCCAGAGCCCACGCACAACTGTGAGCTCCACTAGCTCCTTTCTGGTCCCTTCCACACATCAAGAACTGCACTAGGGCCCGGGCACACAGACAGAAAGATAAAGTGGGCCCCTCCACCCTGCACCACACACCCCAAAGACTCTAGCCGCACTTCTCTGCCCAGTCCTCCTCCTTTTCAAATATCTGCTTACACTCTTCCCTCTGTCTAGAGAACCGTTCCTGTCCTCTACAAGCAGAATACTGTAAACAATAACAATAGCTAAAACTGCCCTGGCTGGTGTGGCCCGGTGGGTTGGGTGTCATCCCAGAAACTAAAAGGTGGCTGGTTTGATTCCCAGTCAGGGCACATGCCTGGGGTACAGGCCAGGTCCCTGGTTGGAGGTGTGCAAGAGGCAACCGATCTGTGTTTCTCTATCACACTGGTGTTTCTCTCCTACTCTTCCTCCCTTCCCCTCTTTCTAAAAATAATAAAATGTTTTTTAAAAAATAGCTAAAACTTACATGACAGTTTCATTCCCAGTCGCATGTTAACTTGTTTAATCCTTATAGTGATCTCATGAAATATGTTATTGTTCCCATTTTATATATGAATTGAGGGTCAGAGAAGGTAAATAACTTGCCCAGGGTCACTTGGCTGGAAGTAGCAGAAAGAAATTGAACTCAGGCAGCCTGGCTTGAAAGTTTACAACCTTTGTCACTAGGCTTTACCTCTTAGTTCTTATCTGATACTTGGGCTATATAGTCTCCTGCGTTGAGACTGTGCCCTTCCTGAGCGTTGTGCCTGGAGCTGATGCTCTATAAAAGCCTGCTGTGGGTATAATTTTCTTCCTCTCTTCCAGGAAGCCTTCCAGACTTACCCCTAGTTCTGCTCACTCCACTTTCTTGGTCTGAAGTCCTATTCCACTTATATGATCTACTTTTCCCTCCCTATGTCTCTCTGCCTAGACCCTCTAATAGACTGGGAAGACCCTATCACCCAAAGGGAGCATCCTATCACCCCACTGTCAGAGAAGCTGCATGGACTGGGGTGATGTGGGACAGCAGAGTTGTTAAAAGCATGGGCTGCCAGTACATTTAGCTCAGCATTCACTCCGCACTGCCAGCTACACCTGTGTTGGGCAAGTTACCCTCTGCACCTCAGTTTCCTCATCTCTACAATGGAAATAATATTTGTAGGATTCTTTTAAGGATTAAGTAAGTTTGTAACGCAGTTTTTGCTCAAGAGTATCTGCCGTTATACTATACTCAGGGGGGCAAGCCTGGTCGCCCTCCTTCCTCCCGAATCTCTGCCAGCATCTAAGAGTACCTTCAGAGGGTGCTCGGGGCTGACTGCCTGATCCCTCCAGCTGCTTGGGAACCCAAGAGCAAGACCCCACATTGCTGGGACTTACCCCCTGCTGCTGCTGGAGTACTGCTAGCTCCTGCTGGTACACAGTCGAGGCAAAGGGGTACACAGGAGGCAGCTGGGCTTCAGGGCACATCAGCTCCTTCACTGTGTCAGCTGCCATTCCCTTCTGGATGGCTTTGTTGATCCTCCGCACAGCCTGGAGCACTGCAGGGGAGGAAGACGTGAGGCTGCCCAGGTTGGCCATTCAGAGCCATTTCTATTCTCCTGACCAGTCAGGTTCTGCTGGGGATCTCTGAGGAGAGATGGCTTTATAACTGCTCTTAAAAACTATTCTGCTAGGTTCAAAATGTGTTTCTAAATATTCAGGAGGAAAAGGGGCTGCATCACTTTAAGAAGCTCTGGAAGAAGCCAATACATCAGGCCTAGAAGTTGAGTAGCTCAGCAGGTAACAGAGCAGCTGTTATGGCTGAGGTGAGTTCCTAAGGTGTTGAGCACAGGACTCACAGCAGGCTGTGGAGCGTAACTAAGATGAGATTAGTCCAGGGGTTCCAGGGGGGCCCAAATCTTGACGAAAGCACAGAGGAATACAAAACCAGCTCCAAGGTAAAGCCATTTGGGTGGGTTGTAAAGGGCAGGAGTAAGCAAAAGGGGGGCCACGGTGCATCAGTGTTTAGCTTCGAAACACCAGGGCTTATAGAACACCAGGTGGATATGGGCACTGGCAGCAGGGAGCACACAAGCTACAGGGGAGAAATAAGGGTGCAAAAAATCTCACAGTGCACTGCTGTCATTGCATCTGGGAGATCACTACATTTCAGAAGGCAAAGGAACTCTTTCAGGTTGCAACTGTCAAAATACAGGGCAAGTGCCTAAAAGGAAATTGCCTGCCCCAGGAGTGCAGCCTGGTGCAGTGCTGTCATTGTCTCTAAGGCTTTAATGAACTTATCTGTAGGGTCCCTCCAGGCAGCTAGGAATAGGGCACATTAGGCAAGAAAGGAGAGAAGTCCCTTGCCAGGCAGGAAAATCAGGCATCAGTTGCACTGCACTGCACAGAAACTGGCAAAGGGTTACTCTTCCAAGGACCTGTGATGCATACAGGCCAGACCTCAGCCTGGAGATGACTTACTGGCTTGTTCCTGATCACCCTTCATGTTGGCAGCAGCCACACCAGCTTGAATCTCCACCTTTTCCAGGAGCTCCACTAGGCCTAGCTCCTGAAAAAGGAAGAGATGCAATAGAAAAGAGGCCTCCAGGAGCACTGAACATGATTTAGAAGCTGCCGGCATAAGCTCCCAGATCTACCCAGTCACCTACTGTCAATCCCTCCTCTCCCATTTAGGCAGACTAGCCTGGCCCACCCACCTCTATTAACCTGTCCCTGTTCACCAATCCCTAACCTCTGACTCTTTATTACCCAGCAAGCATCTGATATAACAACTCAGGCAATGCAAATATAAATAGTGTCATGGAGAAATTCAACAGCATTGACAATAAGATTACTAATAAGTTGAGGTCCCAATTCAGCAATGGGGGAGTTCGCTAACACTACATAGTGAACTGTCCCTAGGTCCTCCAGGCAGTCTGAGAAACTCTCAAGACAGCAAAAGCTGATCAGTCTAGTTCATTAGGCTTTGGGATGATTTAACCATTTAAACATGTAGCCAGCACTGAGTACAAAGAATTGACAGAGGTGATGCCTAAGTAAGAGGCCCTCCCCCATCCTGTAGTCAGACAGAGAAGGTAGCAGGTAATAGACATAGCCTGACCTGTGCTTTCTGCTCTCTGTCCGAGCTCAGCTGTTCCAGGTACCAGTTGGCAAAATCACTCCTCACCCCTCGCAAGGCCAGGGCAGGGTCTTGAAGGGCCTTAAGCAAGGCCTCAGGGCTCTGTCTTTCCAAAGCATCATCAACAGCTTCTAGAGCCCCATGGACTGAAAAAGACAAGACTCCACAGTGTACACTGTGGGAAAGCCCGCTGCCACCACCCCAGTCTAGCCCTAGAAATCTGCCCTCTTCCTGCTGGCCCAGAGTTACCCCCACTCCAGTCCCCTGGATTCCTGGGGCCTAACTGATCAGCCCAAATTCTTCAGCTTGATCTGCAGCCTTCCCATCTTACTACCCCAGACCCTGAAGCTTCAACCAGCCCCTCCTGTCCTAACCTCCCCCTCTCCATCCTTTCTGCACATCCCCTTCTTGAAGGACCCCATGCCCTCTCCATTTAAACAGAAGTCCCCTGGACAGACACTACTTGACTTTGATCTTTCCCTGAGATAAGAGTTGGCCCCAGGCCCAAACCTCCCAATGCAGGAGCTCACCCTGAAAGCATTCCCCTAAGCCCCTCCTGGCCTATCTCTCTTACCATTGACATGGTTGATGTTGCCCTGGATTTCAGCCTGAGTTAGGTAGCAGTCATAGATGTCCTGGTTTTTTCCATCATCCTGCAAATACTACATTGAGAGAGAAACCCGGGAAAACCAATCAAATCTTCTCTTTGTGTTTACCTATTTCTTCTTCTGGGAGCCTCCAAAGGCCAAAAGGTCAGCGTGGTAGGAAGGACTCTGGGGAAATCGAGGGGTCCAACCCCCCTGACACTGACACAGTTAAGTCAACCAGCCTTTGGAATCTCCAGTCCAATCTCATTCAGTTCTACATTCAGCCCTTACTGAAGAATCATCTCCCTAGAACCTCTTTTCCTGTCTTATCCTCATTGTTATCCCAAGTTCCTCTCCTATTTCCCTAAAATAACTGGCAAGTTAGCTTCTCTGAGCCACTTTGGGACCCAGAAACAAAAGGAATAGGAGTCCTGGTTTCACTTGAGGTTTTCCAGACCACCCAGCTGTCTAGCCCCTGCATTTGAAGGTTCTTTCTTACACAGTTCCTGGCATTTGCAGCCTTCTCCATCTTGGCCTGGGCCAACAGCTCCTGGTAGATGGCTGCCAGAGGCTCTCGAAGATTCCCCAGCAGAGCACTGGGATTCTGCAAGGCAGCCAGAGTGTCCTCAACCACTCCCCGCTCCACTGCCTCATTGATGGCAAGAATAGCTGCATGGACTAGGAGGGGGCATCGAAACAAGGTAAGGAAGCCAGATCACCTATGAGCCACTTGACATCATCCCTTTTCCACCCCCAGAGGCCAGGCCAGTCACGTAGCCTGATGGCCCTGCCTGTGGATGAGAGGTATCCAGAATCCATCTGAGGGCTGTGAGGCTCAGAGTCCTCCCATATTCACTGAGCCTACCCCTAGCAGAGCAGAACCCAATCCCTACCTGCAGCCTCATCCACTGAGAGCTCATTGGCCAGGATGCCCCCGATTTTGCTGAAGGCAGGCAGCTGAAGGCCATATTTGGCCAGCTCCGAGGCCATGTTGCTGAGTTCCTCAGCTGCAAAGATACCATAGGTGCCCTTCATCAGGTCCAAAACTCCAGGAGCCGGACCAGAATTGTGGTGGTTGGGGAACAAACGGCTTACCTGTGAACTTCACTTTCCCGTATAGATCATGTATCTGAGGGGCCAAGCCTAGCCGGAAGAGGAAGAGACTAGGAAAGAAGAAGGCAGTGGAGCTGACTTATTTTGACCTGCTGCCCGAAATGGGTTTTCAGGAGATACTATGGAGACCTGGAGATGAAGACCACTCAGTACCTGCTCCCAAGACTCCCCCAATCCACAGGAAGAAATGTTATTGGAAGTCAGCCCAAGGCAAGTGCCATAAAAGATAAATAAGATGCTGTGGAGATCTGGGGATTGGGAAGACTTCACAGATAAGGGCACATTGCAATGGCAGGTCACTGGATGGAGACGGAGAGTGGGGAGGGCATAGCGAGCACAGACCCACCGAACCACGGCACAGAGGCTTGAAAGAACACAGGAAATGAAGTCGGGAAGCAGTGACGTGCAGGACACAGGAACTGGCCAATCACTTCTATGAGTTAGCCAACCGGTTGCTGATGGCTGGCTATGAATAGAACCAAAGAGCCTTCCCCATTCACACTGAGTTGCTCTTGATAAATCTTGTGTGCTCCAGTCACAAGCTGAAGAACGTTCCCGCGCTGCTCTTTTCCTTCACCCACTTGGGTTAGGCATAAATATCCCACAAACGTGCACGTAACTCTAAACACAACCACACAAATCTAAAACCTTACTTTCCTGAGAGGTGCTCCCTATGGTCTACCATCCATCCTTCCTGCCACCAGCACTTGTTGCTGTCAAGTGTTGGTTGTGTCCACCTGGAGCAACAAGGATGAGAGAAGTTCGGGGTCTCTCACCTGAGTGCATGGATGCAATAGACCACTCGAGGCATGTTCTTCTTGTCGTAGATGTCCGTGGTCTCCGGGAAGAAGGTCTGGAGGGGAAACCAGCAGTTACTGCCACTGGGGACCTTTAAGCAGCACCACATACGGAGAGAGGGGGCTGAGTCAGGGGTCTTCCCCTCCATCCTGGGGTGTGTGCTCCTTTGTTGCCTGGGGCTTCTAGATTAGTCTCCCCAACCATTTATAGCCAGCTCAATGTAAAGGAAAAGCAATGGGGACACATACTAAGCCAAGACCCAGTCACAGACAGGGTCATACAGTCCCAGATTAATCAAACACTAGACAGAGCTATAAAGGATATAGAACGCAGGCCATGTCCTCCAGGAGAAATAGGCCCCTTGTTCATCCCATAGACACAGCCAGCCTGTGCCCCTCACCCTAGACTCTTGCCAGAAAAGTGACATGCTGGGGAGCTGGCCATGGTCCCAAAGAGAGCTCAGTGAAGCACGCTTTGCCAAGAACCACAAAGGGGTCAGGGTGTGGCACCCCTGTCTACAAGCCAGAGGCCTCTGATCAATGGGAGCCCCTCTAAGAGGAATTGAGTCACCCCAGGGATGGATTTCCACACCACCTAGCAACTGAGGTCCAATCTCAGTACCTCTTGATTACTTTACACTCATAATGACCACACCTAGAGACCTAAGTGTTCCAACCCCACTGGGACACATGGCCTCGACTGTTCCTGCCTCCCACCAAAGTGTCTTTTTTTTTTTTTTACTGCTATTAACTTGTCTTATAATATCCTTCTACAATGAAGAAAAACAACGCAGAAAGAAATAATACATTGTAGAGTCCTATCACACCTTATTTGTATAGCTCTTTACAGTTCAAAAAAAGAGTTCCGATGGATCATGCAACCCTGTCAACTTCAAGAGGCAGGGATTACTATCCCTGTTTTATATATGAGAAGCCGACTGGGATTTTAAGAGTCAGAAGACATGCACCACACACTCAACTGGGGTCTGGGGCCTAGGTTTCCAAGTCTGTTCCCGAGGGACGTGATATCCCCTGCTTCACGTTACGAAATCCTGGTGGAAAGATGGCTGGCCTACACGAGCCCCATCTCCTGCATTACAGGAGGGCCTCACTGCCTAAAGGGAACAATGAAACTTGAGTCAGGGAGCCTTCACCTCCTTTGTTTATGCACTGAGAAGTGGAGGCAGAGACCAAGTAACCTGGTTCAAAGACACAGCCCCAAGGAACTTAAACTCTCAGATTAAGTTAGTTTAGAAAATACATGGAGCGGAAGGTTAAAAGTCCCCAGGGAGACAAAATGGGTGGGTGGAGAGGGCTGCAGGGGCCGGCACTGGTGAACAGTACAGATGAATCCCAATCTCGAGGCCCAGGGTTACCGAAGGCAGACCGATGTGGGCTATCGCAGAGAGCCAAAAATTAATGTTGTCTGTGTGACGGAAGTGCAAGCCAGTTGCCTGAAAGGGAAAGAACAAGAGAGTTTATTCCCACAGTTCTCGGGGTTCCCTATGAGCAAAGCCCAGACCACAGCTTAGAGGTCCACAGCCATTCAAGTGGCTGGAGGAGCCAGTGGACCCTGCCCCATGGACTTCCCATCTCCACAGGACAGAGACACACGGACCAACAGAAATAATGCAGAATGGGTCCAGAGGGATATTTGGGGAAAATGGCACAGGGGTGGGATTAACAATCTAGTAAGGCTTCCTCGAAAAGGGGAGTGCAGAGCTGGGATGGGAAGGAGGGCAAGTTGGGCTAGCCAGGACACAGGGAAGGGCAGTGTGCCCAGGAAGTATCTTCAGGTGGCAAAACCCACAAGCCTGAGTGTAACTGTGGGTAGAAAAGTCTTCTTGGGAGTTCTCATATCAGAGGTATCTGAAAGCCCATCTATCAAGTGTCTGTCCCTTGCTAAGGATAATGTACACTGCTGGGCTGGGAGATACCAATTTATACCTGTTGTCCCAGTGCAATGATTAGTTATACCCTTTTCATCCTCAAAAGTATCTAGTTTTAGACAATAAGTTATATGGTCATTCTACTCTCACAGCTTTGAGGAGAAGGGGCAGTTTGAGAGAAGGTAGAAGGTAGAGACCTCTATTTCACACCTGGTACCGCAGCTGCTCCATGTCATAGATCTTCTTCAAGGGGACCACAGAGGGTGCAAAACAGTGGCCCAGCTTGGCCAGCAGCACTCCATTCCGGAGACTCTCCTCTAGCTCCACGGGGGAAGGAAGCTCCTCCTTCAGGCAGGCCTCCATCCAGCTGAGAGCACGAGAGCATGAGAGCCTTCTCACCGGCTCCAGCAGGCCACCGCAGTTCATTCTAACCACAGGAACTTCCCGCCCTCTCTCCCTCTAAGCAGGCTCTAATTCTCCTACCTCCTGTTCCTGCCCTGCTCCCAGCTCCCCTCTCTGCCCATTGCCTGGCTGTTCTCACCTTCTCACAAGCTGCCCCAAACACCTGGATTGGCCAATCCTCAGCCCCCAACCACCCCAGGAAATCTCCCCTGACAGATCATAACATAACATGCCCACCTTCAGTGGGGCTTAAACAGGCTCTTATCTGTTACATCAGGGATGTCAAACTCATTTTCATCAGGGGCCACATCAGCCTTGCAGTTGCCTTGAAAAGACTGTATAAATGTAACTTTAGGACGGTATAAATGTAACTACAGGTACTCCTTAACTAGGGGCAAGGAGCTCGGCGCTGCCACCAGGTAGAAACAAGGTACCAGGCCGGACAAAATAAGGTGGAGGGCTGGACCTTGTGTTTGCCACCTGCATGTTACATGATGTAACCTCTCACTCAGTCTGGTTATGTATGCACTATGACTGTTGAACCAAATTGAATCTGCCCACTTTTCTCATTCTGCATATTCTCTGAGAACCCAGATACAGAAAGGTCATGTCTACCTGAATGGTCTACACAGCCCATAACCCAGCTTTGATGATGCTGGTGGCAGTGGGGAACACCCAGGGCTGACAGAAGGGGAGCAGCACAAAGGGACAGAAAGGTCACAGTCCTTGGAATCAGAAAATGTGCTTTTCACACCATCTCCCCTACTTCACCTGAGCCTCAGTTGCATATCTTCAAAATGAAGACACTACCACTTGTACTCCCTTTGTCAGTGGGCAGCTGCCAGGATTAAATGAGCTAAGGAATGTGAGAACGCTTTGAATACAAATGCGCAGTACTCCCATTGTTGACAGTTATGTAAGGGAGCCAAGAGGGCTGCTCACATGGGATCCCCAAACTTCTCCACACGGCAGATCTACAGGAAAGTAGCTGTTTTCAAAGACAGAGCCCGCCACAACTCGCTTCATGCTTTCCCTGCCAGACACCTGATTTCCCGTCTACCCCATCCTCCCTACCTTTTTGGAGAACATTAAGACCATACTATTTTCAAAAAGGAAACAAGTATTTATCCTGCCTTTAGAGCCAACATCCATTTACAGGAAATACGGGGTATAGAGGAACAAGCTGAATGACACAAGAAAGCAGAGACAAAACCAGAATGTAGGATGTCCTCTGGGGCAAACGACTCGGCTTCTTCAACAAGTTAATGAGAGAAAGAATGAAAAAGGGAAGACAAGCTGTTCTATATTAAAGGAGACTTAAGAGACACAGCGACCAGATGTAATATGTGAACCTTTTTTAGATCCTTATTTGAATAAGCCAATTGTAAAAATAGATTTTTTTAAACAATCAGGACAATCTGAAAATGGCCTGGGTATTGATTTCCAAGGGTTAATGGGTAGCTTAGTTGGGCATTACAATGACAGTGTGGTTGTGTAAGCAAATGCCCACATGTTTTAGAGATATGTATTAAGGAATGTTTTCTTCGCTCACAGATGGCATGACCGTCTGTGTATAAAATCTGAAAAAATGCGAGCCCTGGCTGGCATAGCTCAGTGGATTGAGCACGGGCTGCGAACCAAAGCATCGCAGGTTCAATTCCCAGTCAGGGCACATGCCTGGGTTGTAGGCCACGGCCCCCAGCAACTGCACATTGATGTTTCTCTCTCTCTCTCTTTCTCCCTCCCTTCCCTCTCTAAAAATAAATAAATAACATCTTTTAAAAAATCTGAAAAAATGCGACCAAAATAACTCCTGGAACTAATAAGCAATTATAGCAACTTTTCAAAATACAAGGTTAATATATATACATGTCAGTTGTTCTCCTATATACCAGCAACAAACAAGTGAATTTAAAATTAAAAACAATACCATTTACATTAGCATCCCTAAAAATCACAAACTTAGGTATAAACTTAACAAAATATGTACAAGATCTATGTGAGGAAAACTGTAAAACTCTGATCAGCAAAATCAAAGAATAAATAATTGAGAGATATTTCATATTCATGGATAGAAAGACTTAATATTGTCAAGATGTTAGTTCTTCCCAGTTTGAGCTACAGTCAATACAATCCCAAAGGGAATCCCAGCAAGCTATTTTGTGAATATTGACATACTGATTTGAAAGTTTATATGGAGAGGCAATAGACCCAGAATAGCCAACACAACATTAAGGAAGAACAGAGTTAGAGGACTGATGCTACCTCACCTAGCCAGAGTAATGAATACACTGTGGTGCTGGTGAAAGAATAGACAAATAGATAATGGAACAGAACAGAGAGCCCAGAAATAGACCCAGGTAAATACTGTCAACTCATCTTTGACAAAGGAGCAACGACAGCACAAACAGAGTAAAGATAGTCTCTTCAACAAACGGTGCCGGAACAACTGGATATCCACTTGCAAAGAAATGAATCTAGACACAGATCTAGTCAATAACACTGTAATTACTATGTATGGTGCCAGGTCAGTATTTGAATTATCAGGGGGATCATTTCATAAATTATAAAACTGTCTAACCATTATGCTGTATACCTAAAACTAATATAAAATAATATTAAATGCTGCTCTAGCTGGTGTGGCTCAGTGGATTGAGTGCTGCTGGCCTGAGAACCGAAAGGTTGCTGGTTTGACTCCCAGTCAGGGCACATGCCTGGGTTGTGGGCCAGGTCCCCAGCTGGGGGTGTGAGAGAGGCAACTGGTAGATTCTCTCACACCTCAAGATTTCTCTCCCTTCGTTCTCCCTCCCCGACTCTGAAAATAAATAAATAAATAAAGTATTTAAAATAATATTGAATGCCAACTTTAATAAAAAAATAAAAATGAATAAAAACAGGCACACACCTTACACCCTTCACAAAAATCAACTTAAATGGAACATCAACCTAAATGTAAAACACAAAAGCATGAAACTCCTAAAAGATAACATAGGAAACAATCTAGATGACCTTGGGTATGGCAATGACTTTTTAGATACAACAAATCCTTGAAATTATTGATAAGCTAGATTTCATTAAAACTAAAAACTTCTGCTCTACAAAAGACAATGTCAAGAGAATGAGAAGGCAAACCACAGACTGGGGGAAAATATTTGCCAAACAGGCATCTGATGAACAATTGTTATCCAAGAAATACAAACTATCAAAACCCAATTAAGAAAACAAATAACTCAATTAAAAAATGGGCCAAAGACCTTAAGAGCCACCTCACCAAAGAATATATACAGATGGCAAATAAGCACATGAAAAGATGCTCCAGGACTTCCGGCCAAGATGGAGGAGTAGGTAGATATACTTTGCCTCCTCACACAAACAAAAGGACCACAACAAATTTAAAGACAAAAAACAATCAGAATTGCCAGAAAATCGAACTGTATGGAAGTCTGACAACCAAGGAGTTGAAGAAGAAACATTTATCCAGACTGGTAGGAAAGGCAGAGATGGGCAGCCAGGGCAGAGAGGGCGTGTGGCAAGGCGGTGGCTGGCGGACCAGGCCGTCCCACATTTGCATGCAGATAAACAGGGGGAAATAACTGAGGAGCAAGACAGACTGCACAACCCAGAGTTCCAGCACAAGAAAAGAAAGGCTCAAAACTTCTGACTGTAAAAATCTGTAGGGGTTGCAGACATTGGGGAAATTCCCAGTCTCACAGGAGAGTTTGTTGGAGAGATACCCAGGGTCCTAGAACCTACACAAACCCACCCACCTGGGAAACAGCACCAGAAGGGCCCAATCTGCTTGTGGGAAGCGAGGGAAGTGACTGAAAGCCAGCCTAGCGCTGAGCAAACAGCAATGTTCCCTCTCATCCCCTCCCCCACATACAGCACCACAGCAATGTGGGTTGTCCTGCCCTGGTGAATACCTAAGGTTCTGCCCCTTAGAACATAACAGGTATCCTGAGACAAAGAAATATGGCCCAAATGAAAGAACAGATCAAAGTTCCAAAAACAGAACTAAGCAATGAAGAGATAGCCAACCTATCATATGCAGAGTTCAAAACACTGGTAATCAGGATGCTCACAGAAATGGTTGAGTATGGTCACAAAATAGAGGAAAAAGTGAAGGCTATTTAAAGTGAAATAAAGCAAAATAGACAGGGAACCAACAGTGAAAGGAAGGAAACTGGGACTCAAATCAATGGTTTGGACCAGAAGGAAGAAATAAACATTCAACCAGAACAGAATGAAGAAACGAGAATTAAAAAAAAAAAAAAAAAAAAAGGAGAGGCTCAGGAACCTCTGGATCAAATTTAAACATTCCAACATCTGAATCATAGCGGTGCCAGAAGGAGAAGAGGAAGAGCAAGAAATGGAAAACTTATTTGAACAAATAATGAAGGAGAACTTCCCCAATCTGGAGAAGAAAATAGGCTTCCAGGAAGTCCAAGAAGCTCAGAGAATCCCAAAGAAGTTGGGCCCAAGGAAGTACATACCAAGGCACATCAAAATTACATTAGCTAAGAAAAGAATCTTAAAAGCAGCAAGAGAAAAGGAGACAGTTACCTACAAAGGAGTTCCCATAATACTATCAGCTGATTCCTCAAAGGAAACCTCACAGGCAAGAAGGGGCTGGAAAGAAGTATTCCAAGTCATGAAAAGCAAGGACCTACATGCAAGATTACTCCATCCAGCAAAGCTGTCATTTAGAATCAAAGGGCAGATAAAGTGCTTTTCAGATAAGGTCAAGTTAAAGGAGTTCATCATCATCAAGCCCTTATTATATGAAATGTTAAAGGGACTTATCTAAGAAAAAGAAGATGATCAAAACTATGAACAGTAAAATGACAACAAACTCACAACTATCAACAACTGAACCTAAAAAACAAAAACAAAAACAAACTAAGCAAATAACTAGAAATGGAACAGAATCACAGAAATGGAGATCACATGGAGGGTTATCGGTGA